CAACAGGGGGTTTCCAGTTAGCTTCATGAACAGCTCTCCTGTTTTCCATTCATGCTACTATTCAAGAGGTTGGCTAGGATGCATAATTGAACTACATTGAGTAAAATCATATTGCCCAAGCTGTACAGATCAGATATAATGACTGTTTTCAGCCTTTAATTCTAGAGTTTTCAGGAGCTGGAGGGAGGAAACAAAAGTAATAAACCTGCTCTTAAAGCATTGCAACTCATACAAAACCCATTGCACTGTACTAGGATGCAATTCAGCCTCCAGCACAGGAAGCAGAATCAGGACTTAAGCAGATCTGAGAGGAATTGAAACAAACTGGGGAAGATGAATCTTATGCTGGATTCTTATTAATCCTCCTTTATGGTCAAAGATACATATTATCATCATCCCAGCTCTACTTCCCATAGCAATACTCTATCATCTAAGTCTGCAAGAAGGGCTGGGTTTGTCCCATATGGATTGCTACTGACATGCAGACATCAAAAATGCTTTTTTTTTTTTTGGACTTCCAAAAAGAAAGAGAGAGAAACTAAGAGACACAAACATACACATGCATTCTTAATACAATTAGGCAGAATTCTTCTGACAATATGGTCATGGTAAATGGAAACAACTGAGCTGGCAGGATCTTGTTTTAATCCAGAATTGGTAAAGGCAAAGTAGAAGTCCACTTTTTTTTTTTTCTTTTAATACATTTATTTTAGGTGCCTCATTATAGGGAGCAAAATTTCCCTAGGATATCACTTTAGTACAGTTGAGACCCTTGTTCTAACATCACATAAACAGCTTTTTTTCATTAAAGACTGCTAATTATTTGTAACCAGATGTAGAGCAAGCGCAAAGGAAGTGAATGAGGAGTGACCCATCCCACAAAGGACATTTAGTCCAGTTGTTTTCAGTGGAAAAGGTCTTCAGCTCAAAGATGAAAACATAAATTTAACATCAGGTTTCGATGCAATTACTGTAGTTCCAATAAGGAGAAGACCTACAGGTTTCTGTGTATAAAGCACATATTGCTAGCGTCCTAAACAACTACTAGGAAACCTTTCTATGGCCCAGCCTAGCTGCTAGTTATGTAACCCTTCAGCCACATCCTGCAGTCTCAACAATTCACTATAAAGGAAAATGCCAGCTCAGTTTCATGGAAGTCTTTCAAGAAAGATCTGAAGGCTTCCTCAGTTTCCAGATGTTAATGAGGCAAAAATCACCCAAGAAAATAAAGGGGAAAAATGGGAACTGTGATACTTATTTAGAAGAAAAACACAACAACAACAACAACAACCTGTACCATTCCAGATAGTTGTAATTACTTATTTTTTTAATCTCTGGGGGATAGATTTTAAAAGCGCTCAATCACAGAGAAAAGAATTTCTTTTTAAAAAAGCTTCAGTATGAAATCATGTTTTTAAAACGGTGTTAAGAAACGTGTTTTCTGGGATATCTGCATTTAACCTTGACATACACAAGTATTTTGTCTGTAGTAAGGAATGATCTCGATACTATATTTAGGAAAATTTTGTTTCAAAGCAGCTGTGACCATTGGGAAGTCAGATATTGAGGAGGTGCACTGAAGTATGTTCATTTCAGTCTGCATCAGGCCGGAATATGCTTAACATTCGCATTAGGAACATGATCATTTACATCATTTAGAGTGAAGCAAGGGGGTGGTTCTTCTCTTATAAAGGAAATCAAGAAAAATCCACCAGCTAGCACACTTTAATATACTGCAGCATATATTTTAAACATATAAAATATGCAGAGGTCAGCAAAGTTTCCTCAGAGGGCCAGAACAGCCCAGCTTGGGTCCAGAGCAGGCCAGTGCTACGATCCAGCTGCTGCCACTAATACTCCCCGCTGCCCAGCTGTGGTGTGGAACAAACTCCATGCTACCTAGCCACCACCAGCCATAGAAAGCTGCTGAAGCTCCAGCTCTGTAGGCCTGATCTAATGGATTTGGCCCACACACCATAAATTCCCAAGCCCTGCTTTAGGTGACTTGGCTCTTACTTAGAGAGCACTGCTCTCATCTACTTCTTGCAATAACTGAAGCTTCTTAACCATTCTTCTTACCAATTTTGCAGCAATTTAAAATCTTTTAAAAAACCAATGATATAATAAAAAGATAGTACAGCAAGTACATGGGCCCTCTTGTGATAAACAGACTAGGATCAGAGTTCTTGCATCAAGTTACCACCCCAAAAACAAAGCAAAAGATTCACTTGTTTGGAAAGGTGAGGAAAGGGACCAAATGTACAACTACCAAATTTAAATCTGGAGTCAAGCAAAGCAGCATGTTCAACTCACTTGCTTATGAGCTTTCCTAGTTTACAGTTCTGATTTTTTATAGCTATTGGTTTTTTCAATTTGTATTACGTTTGTTTTCTTCTCAAGAGAAGAAAAGCTTAAATACTAACGGGTACAATGTGAATCTCTCTCTTAAAAGCCTACATTCTTGAAACAAATATCTCTACAGAACAGAAAAATAGTTTGAAAACACAAAGCTAATAAACAGAATAGTGATAACTTTAATAACAGCATTAGCAAGACATGACAAAAAGAAACATTTCTGGCAATTATTTTAACTGAAAGAATTCTTGAAAGGTCCCTTACAAGAAGAAAAAAAAAATGTTACCAATTCAGTCATGACATAACAATTTAATTCAAGATTACAAAGAACAAGAGAATTTTGGCTGAGAAATCAATTGTTATGCGCAAGTCTGAAAGAAAAAAGAAAAAAAAAAAAATCATGTCCTGGTAGTGTCAAATACTTAAAACCTGAACAGATGAAAGAACATCTGATGCATAGCTGCAGTTAGCACAAGGTACTAAACATACTCTAATACTAATCAAAATGTATCACAGAATCACAAGAAGAAGTGGGGCTTAACAGGACCACAGGCCTTTCCATGGAAAGAAACTGAACCACACCTGCAAGGCGTGGTTTGCAAAAATCGGGCCCTGCATGTGTAATTTTCTACTGAAGTCAAGCGCTAGGTCAAAAGAAGATACATTTCATGGGTTGAGCCTTCTGCTCTTAAAATTGCATGAACCAGAGTATTTAAATAACTCCCTTAATGACTTTACATTTTAACTACAGAATTTTCTTACATATTTTATATAGTTCTTTCACATATTCACATCCTGAATACTATTCAAGGTGTTCATTCTAAGCATGCAAGACGATGTCCTCAGCAGGTGGTAAAAAATGAAATAAGTTGTATTTAAATTTTAAGACTGTTCCAGTCTCAAAGGAAGAAAGAAGCCAACATAACTGCTCCTCACTTCCTCCCTTTTAATTCACAAGAACCCAAACGGTTGTGGTTTCAACTAAACCACACAGAGCGACGTCAGAAGACTGTTCTTCTGGTAACTGTATTTTTATTTCTTTTTTTTAAAGGCAAACCTAACTTGGGGTCATTCTGAGTGCTCTTGACTTTCATTTTTGGTTAAAATTAATATGTATAGTTGGCAACCATTCACTCAGGAGCTTTGTTTTCAGTTTACTGTTTCTACACAAATCTAAGTTGACACTGAATTTAAGACAACCGCCGAATAATTAGATACTAGACATGGAAAATGTATAATTTGTTATAATTTTCCATGTTTAGAATTTAATTTTTGAAGGGTCGTCTTAAAAATTTGCTCCCCCATACTGCTGCAGAAAAGCAAGCAATGAACAGCAGTGGGGCAGGGGGTGGTATAGCAGTCGGCAAAAGGACTAAGTGGCATGACCTCTGCCCCTTGCTACCTGTCCCCTCCACCACTTGCCTCCTCACCTACCCTTCTTCCCTCCCCCTCATATTACCTGCACACCCCATGATCTCTGGCCCCTCCACTTGCACCCTTGCTACCCGTCCTCCTCCCTCCTTTCCTCCCTGTGGTGCCTGCACCTCTAGGTACATGCTCCCCTTCACCAACTGCCCCACCTTCGCTCTTCTTCGCATGCTGCCTGCCCCCTCCACAACCTCCCTCTTCTTACTCGATGACACTTACCTTCCCCTTACAGCTCTACATCCTGCTGGGGCTGCAGTCTGGCCAGGAGCATGAAGCATGTGCTGCCTTTAGCCCCAGCTGGGCCACGTAGCAGCTGTTGTGGCTGCAGTAGCATCAGCCCGGCTGCCACTACGTGGCCAAGCTGGGGCCAGAGGCAGCACATGCTTCTTACATCTGGCTACTTCAGCCAGATGTAAGGGGAAGGTAAGCAGAGGCCAAGAGGAAAAGCAAGGTATGGGAGGGCACAGGGGCTGTAAGAGGCAGTGGTTACAGCTCCAACTCCAAACTTGGCATCAGGGTTGGATTTGGAGACAACAGCCTCCGTCATTTATGCTCAAGTCTAACTGAGGGGCTTCCCCACCAGCCCTGCCACATGCTGAATGCGGAAAAAAGTAAATATGGTACTTTTCTAACTTCCTGAACATACACATGCAAAACCATTTCCAACACATTCAAAATAGAACCCCTTTGTTCTGACCATATTCCCTCTTCCACTGTATCAATGTATCATCAAATATTTGTCGAATTTTACTACATCAAATTTAAGTTTCTCATCTCCAATTCAAGGCCTTTCACAGCTCCCTGCTATGTTATCTCATCTCAAATTGCAATGCTTTACCTACCCCATCGTGCAAGAGATGCTATTTGAACGTTTCCTTCATCAGCTTCTCCCACAAACATTTTTAAACCTTCTTCCATGACAGCCTACACATGGAACACCATGTAGGACCAACACTTTCGTCTTCAGACCCAGCTCTGCTATGAAGCCTAAGAACTATGGCAAGGCTTTAAGGAAGACTGTTTTTCTATATAAAATATATATAGCTTTGGCATTTCTATCTTCACCCCACCACTTAATTTTTGCTTGTCTTCTTACATTACGCATTCTTCACAAGAGGGTCTCTGTTCAGTGCTTATCAAAAGAGGCCCCAACAGTACTTCAGTATTAAAAATAATCTCCAAATAAGACAGACAGTACATTAAGAATGGATACTTACAGCCATAATTAATTCAAAAGGGTGTTTATACACCCGCACGGGAGACTGATATTTCTGTACCATGGTTCCAGCTAATAAGAACAATCCACACCTGAAAAACAAATTTAAAAAAAAGTGTCACAGCACAAATGAAAGGCCATGTTGAATATTAACACTGTCAGTTTTCCCCAAGGACCCCCACACATCTTCTCCTACTATTCAGTGTCCAGGATAGTGAATGCTGCAAGGGAAGAGGCATATTTAAAATAAGGACAAACATTTCTACTGAGCTGTTTAATTGAAATAAAGCACGTACTCTATCCAACTGTTTTTTTCTTGCAGCTAAGTTCTCTTTTTTAGATCCCCATAATACAATGCTGGAAGTGCTACAAATATTCCTCCTCAGAGGATTTGAGGGGGCTGGGGTTTTAGAGTGTAGTACGCAAGTTTGCTTGCCACAAATGCAGAATCTGAGCCACTTCATAGCATTTTCTGTCCAAATATATCATTTTAAAAGCTTCCAATGTGAACAGTAAATTGGTATATTCTCAGTCTACCATTTTTGCAAAACACTGGTGGAACATTTCAGAGTTGCTCATTCAAAAAGTGATTCTCAGCAGCAACGCAATAAGTCTTATGAATACTGACACAATACTAAAAACAAAAGGACACTGCACAATTTAGTCAGTTTCCACTGTGTAAATCCCTAAAACACTCAAGGATTGTAGTAAATTCTTGCAATCTCCAACGTTACTTTTGAATACTTAATAGACAATTAATTAATCCTGAATTCTATTTTCTAACGAAGGGTAACAACTCAGCGTTTACAATATGCATTGTTTTCAGAGGAAAAAAAATATCGTTACATCTAAATAAAGTTAACATTTCCTCACCAGTTCCAAACATGAAAGTTTCATTACTATAAAACCCAGACAAATCAACCTGTCAGTCTAGTGATATGAAGCTATATCATAGAGAAATTGTGGGTACACCGACATGGGGAAACAGACACATTTATTGCAGAAATAGGAAGGAACAACTGCAGTGGCACTATGCCGACTTATTCCACCAATGAATGGTGTCTCATCAAGCTCTTTCTTGAATGAAAATTAAATCTAATGAAAAATACTGGCATCAGTACTCCTGGAAGAAGATACTGGCTGCCAGCCAGATTAAAAGACATAAAAATAAAATTAAGTTATTCTAAGAAAGCCATTTCTCACTAAAATTAACATCCTCTCGCTGCTTACAGAACTTCGGCAACTTCCCATCAGCTTCGGCCAAGTAGCCCACAGGACTGACGCTGAACTAAGAAGGAAGAAAAAAAAGCTCGAAGTCTGGCACAGGGCCACAGATGCATGAACAGGATAACCCTGGAAGCATTGCAGCTTCCCCAAGAAACCTGAGTGGCAAACATGTGACAAAAGCCACCGACTCAATCTGCCCTAACCTAGGAAACTTTATCCCTGGACCAAATCAGGGTAATTTCTTCCAGGAACAAATGGGTTTCTTCCTAGGGGCAAAGACTTTTTAGGACAATCTCTTTTACTGGACCTACTACACAACTGGGATAGAGTTAGACAACATTTCAAGTACAAGACATTTGAAAATCTTGATGCCCACCTTGCTGGGCTCGTTGGACCCCAGTTATCTTTCCTGCCCAAGTGCAGGGGGGGGCTGGACCTGATGATCTGTAAGGTCCCTTCCAGCCCCTTATGTCTATGAAAAAAAGCTGGTCTAACTCTCCCAACTACTTAGTCGGTGCAATAAAACGTCCCGTCCTAAGAAAGCCTTGCCCCTCGCATCACTCCTGGTCCATCCCCACTACAACATCGCTCTGAACCTCCCGTTGCTTCCCAGGGCGGAGGACAGACATCTCGCATCCAAAAGCTGGTTCATTGCTGGTCCAATAAAAGGGGTCACCCTAAGAAACCCAGGCCCCGTGCATCACCCCAGCGACTGCAGGGCTCTCACACTACCAGGGCGGCGGCCCCGAGAAGCGACTCCAGCCACGGACCCCAAGGGGGGGGGGGGAAGAAACCCGGGGGTTATTTCCAAACAACAACCGCGAGACCCTTCGTTCCCACCCCCGGGCCCAACCCTGGCGAACCCAAGCCCCTGGAGCCACGGGGACCCCGAGGCGGTCGGGGGCAGGCCCAGACCCCGCACTCACCTCCTGTCACACCGGCCGGGAGCGCCGGGGCCTCATGCCAGAGCCGGGACCGGACGGGAAGTGCAGCTGCGGCCGCCCGTTGTTACTAGTGACAGGGAGGGGGCGGGAGCCGGCCGCCGGCCAGCTCTGCGCATGCGCAGCGGAGGAGCTGCACACCCCAGAAGGGCGGGAGGGGGAGCTCGGAGGGCGGTGAGGGGTTGCGCGTGCGCAGTTTGGCACCACGGGGGCTTGTCCGGCTCTTCTCCGTTGCGCTTGCGCAGTAGAGGTGGTGAGCTGGCCGCTGTCGCTTGCTGCGCATGCGCTAGGATGGGTCTTCCTCTGGCTGGGGAGGGAAGTGGGGCCTTGCGGTCACTGGGATAAAGAGCCCTCTGCAATGAGGTTGTGGAGATGGGGACTGGACGGACACAGTCCCATTTTACCTCGAGGCAGGCGAATCCCAGCGCTGCTTCTAGCACAACACTTTCCAAAGAAGCTCAGTGTTGCTACCCCCGTTTTACAGACAGGGAAACTGAGGCACATGGGAAAAGCAGCAATTAGGGTTTTTTTTCCCTTATTTATTATTATTGGCATAGCTCCCAGTTGTCCTGGTCAGGACAAGATCCCCTGGACCTATAGGCGCGTGCCCCACCCCTCCAAAAATTGGCCGCTGCTGATGCCTGCGTCACCGCCTGCAGGTGGTCGCTGCTTGCCACCCCTCCCTGGCTGCTGACACTGCCACAGCCGCCTGTGGGCAGTCACTGCTTTCCCCCCACCTCCACTGACACCGCTGCGGCCACCTATGGGCGATCTCCACTCGCCGCCAACATGCCCCCGCCACTGACACCACCACTGCTGCCTGTGGGCAGTCACCACGCCCTCCCCAGCCTCAGCAGGCACGCATCGTTCATGCCTGGACCATCCCGGCTATGACATTGCTCTCACCCTCCTGTTTCTTCCCAGGACAGAGGAAGAACATCTCGTATTCAAAAGCTTGTCTAAGTCTATCCCAGGTACGTAGCTGGTGCTGTACAGCCCCTCGGGAAGACGTAGACCCCCTCCCAGAGACTGAGGATATGTCATTCCTGCTTCTGTGACAATCCTAACACTAGAACAAGTCCACCTACTCACGTACATGCCACTTGCTATAAAACGCTAGGTAGCTGATTTTTTGGCAGGTGGTTATTGCTGAGGAAGGCTATTCCTCGGCACGTTCCTAACGGCAGTATTCTGTGCCCAGGGTAGAATAGCAGTTATGCAATGTTTTTTCAGCATCCTACAAGTGGACTGTAGAAATAGTTACTGTACAGACGATAGTCTCACCTCACAGTACAACCTGTCCTGCACAGCAGAGCAGGAGTGAGTGGCCAAGGCTTTTTTTTTTCAGCCACGGTCCTGGGATCACTGTGGAGGCACTACAAACGTACCCAATCACATCTAAGGCCTTGGACCCACAAGAAGTTCCACGGGGGCAGGACCCACTGATCTCAGTGGTAGGCTATTGACACAGAATCAGCCAATTCAGGCCCCAAACATGTTTTTCAACTAAAAAATAGAAGCATTTACATGTTACATCCAGAATCTTCAAGACATCCTGCCCTCTTCAATAAAAAAAGAAATAAAGACATAAAACTCTCCTTTGATTTTCAGTTTCCTGCTGGGGTCAAAATGAAATTCTAGGAAGGCAAATTTGGCACCGCTTTTACATTTACCGATAGGATGAACACTCTTCCCGTACCAAGATGATTTATGGGGGACACATACAGTTCACCCATTAATCATTGTTAAAGCACTCATTACTGAAATGTCTGAGCACCTTTTCTGTTACATCCTTCCCTTTAAGGTAGAGAAGATGGAGATTTTTACAAGAACTAAGGTGAATAAGGAGCTGGCTAAAAGGGAGACAACAAGTTATGCTTGGAGTAGAGTTTTCAGGATGGAGAGAGGTTACCCAAAGATTGTTCTTTGAATGAATTCTTGTTTAATATTTTCAGTAGCAACTGCAATGCAAGGACAAGGGATGCACTAGCAAAATCTGAAGTAAGGAAGATTGTGCTGGGAGTTGAGAGACCTTTCCATAACAGGTTCCTTCCTCTATTCATCCTCTCTCCCTAGAGGTTTCAATGCACTGTATATTTAATTAACAAATCCCATGCTAGTTGCCTGTCAGGGCCTGGAAGGGATTCCCTTTCTCCCCTGATACATAGTTAGGTCTCTGCTTTTATTTTTTGTTTTCACTTTGTGCTGAAATATCAAAGTTGCATATGAGGTGTTTCTTTTCACCTTGTGGCTGGAGCAGATGTTCACATGGCAGCTGGAGCAGATGTTCTTCTGGAGTTTTTGGACTTAACATCTATTATTTGGTTGCCTGTGTTTGCAGGGGGACTGGACTCCGTGGACTCTTACAGACGAGCAGTGAGGCTGCTCCGACATGCTGTAAATTCAGCGCTGCAGCAGACTCAATTTACTGAGTAGAAATTACTGTGTTCCAGCAGCCTCCAGAGTCACGTGTATCAGCATCCCCACACCGAAAAAATGGCGGTGAGGTGCTTTAAACTAAAGTTTGTTCAATGCACTTTCCTTCAAAGCACCCCGCCATCATTTTTCATGTGATGCTCGGATGCTTTGAATTAGCACAGCTCGCTAATTAGAGCACTCCCCCTGCCTCCCAGAGCATGTCTATAAATGCCCCATGACTCGCCTGATTCCTTCCAGTCCTATGTCCTTGGGTTCTTTGTCTCTTCAACCAGCTGTCACTGAGTTTGGCAAGCTCTGCAGATATGGATTGCCAGGAGAAAGCTATCTTAATGTAAGTTTAAAACAAAAATGGTGTACAGAACCTGTGACAGGGTGCAGAGAGAGACCCTTTAAAGATCCAGAGGGATCTACTTGGCAATGAGGTACAGGGGTGCTGGGTACAGGAAGGGAGTCAAGGTTGAGGGTGCTGAGAGACATCAAGAGCTGAAGCAACTTGCTGTTACTGAAAAAAGCTGAAAAATCTTTGAAGGCAAGCTTACTTTCTTCTGATTTCCTTTGTTGACCAAAGCAAGCAGAGTGGCCTGAGTATTTGATGTTAAAGGAAAGCTCCAAATAAAAGACCTGTGTTTTGAACCCTGAAAGAGGCATGGCTCTGATTCTTACCAGTACAACTGGCAGAAGGCATGACCAGCTCACATGCGGTGGAGAATGCATCTCTCCGTCTGGTGCCAACCTTGGTGTGACACTGACCTACACCCAAATAACTCAGGTACCAAAAAGGAGGAATTTCCTCCAGCCTTTCCTCTCTCACAGACCCCTGTGGGTCATCCAAACTCCCTCTCTAAGCATGCTTCTTCAGTAGGTGGCCTAGTGGGCCCCAATCCTGGCCCAAGACCACTGGGTGTAACAGATGCTGAGTGCCTGTGGCTTTCATCTCTCCTATCTTTCCCCCAACAAGCAGAGTGACCCAAATGATCTGTGTTAAAGGAGGACTCCATATAAAAGATCTGTTCTTTTGAATCCAGAAAGAAGTATGGCCATGACACACTAATCCACCTGGCTGAAGACTTGACTAGTTCATAGACCCAAACACAAGAGACAAAGAAAGTATGTTTTCTATACTGATTGTATTTTTCACCCAAAGTTATTTACAATTATTAGGCATTAGGGGCCTCCTTCTATTCGTCTCCTCTGGGATGCTCTTGTGGGATATGTAGTGACCTGCAGGCTGTCCAGGGATTTTTATTTCCTCTCTTTGGACTTAAGAATCTGGTATTTGGGCGGGGGGTGGTTCATTACTTTTTCTGAAGTGAAGTGAGACTGTTCTTGTTCCTGGTACAATCCCTTCGCAAAGGAAGTTGACATTTAATTATGCTGTAACCAGTGTTGATTAGTGGCTTTGCTATAGTTTCTTTTCTTGAATGAGCACGTGTGTGTTTATTTGGACTTTGTCAAGATTAGCTTCTCGTCATGTCTTCTCTGAAGCTAGCCTTTACAAGAAACAGTTTTTTAAATATGCCAGCAAATTGCAGCTCTAAACCTTGTTCCATTGTGGCATTTGGCTAGTATCTACTTCTATATTTATTATAGTTGAAGTCACCTAGCATATTGTGTTACAAGACTTTGCTGCCTTTCAAGGTCTTTCTCAGCTTCCTGTCTCCTAATACCCTTCTCTCAAATTGAAGGGTTGTAATATAACTCTTTTGATCACTTTTAGTGTTCTTAGGACTTGGAATTTGTATCCACACAGATTCCACTGAGTGGTCTCTTCACTCAGAAATTTTGCCTCATTGAATTTGGATGAAATATCACATTCTCGTGCAACTGGCTTATCTCCTTGTTCTACCCAACTCCCTTGATTCGAAAATCAACCTGAAAAAACTCGTCATCAAGATAGCTTCTTAAAAGGAATTAGAGTGTCTGGCAAAAGGGGAAAACCTATTAATGTATTATTTAAATGCTGGCATTGTACTTGGCATACAGCTCCAGCTCCAAAGAGCCTACAGCCTTAACAAAACAGACAACACAAGAAAAAATTATCAGGTTTTAAAAACATATTTTACTATGACTGTTATTGTTTATAGTGTTATTGACTCATTTCTTATGGGAATCTCATAATTGAGTCTTCCAAAGGAGTGTGAAGGAAGCAGGAACACACTGAAGTGTCTCACAGAAGGCTGTGAAGAAATGGCTTTTTATCTGTAAGCAAGTGTAAAAAGACTGAAGTTAAGAAGATGCAGTATAAAAGTATGACATGATAAATATTTCCAGAACTTAGAGTACAGCTTATTAGAGATAAAGGAAGATGAGCCCTGTGGAAGTTATGTAAGGTCAGCAGCTGGACACATTTCCCAAATAGCATTCTTCAACAATGTGTTCTTTATTATGCAACCCAAGTCCCAGTTACTCTGTTTTCAGGTAATATCATGGATATCAAAGAGAATCACTGGTGCTTGTTTGATACATTATTAACGACAATGCCAGTAGCTGCCTTAAAGTGAATTTGTCTAGGAGCAGCGTGGAACTGATATTTTGGGCATGCAGCAAAGAGAAGGTATAATACACCTAAGGCAAAAGTAATATTAAGTGCAAATTCCACAAAAATCCATGAATTTTCAGCTCCCATGGACCTGATATCTATTGTAGATCACGGTCAGGTTAGGAATTTAAGCATATTTTGCTTTTTATTGTTCAGCAGTTTGCATCACTACTGATGCTGCATTGTAACAATAGGAGAAAGAAATTTGTCAAGAGTAAAAGACTGTTCATAGATGAAATTCTAATTGCTAAAGGCCAAGTAACTGCAAATACTACAAAATAAATTATCAGGTTTTGATCTTGAATGTGCTTTCTAGATTTGAGTAATCCCATTCAAATCAGTCGGGTTATGATTTACACTGATGTTACTGACATCAGAATCTAGTTCTTTAAATTCTCAACATCATCAAATAATCTCTACTCTTGAACTCCTTTCCAGGTAAAACAAGCATTATTATTGATAAATGTTACCAGTATTAAGATATGGTCCATGCCCCAGGGAGGTCCTATTCTGGTTCAAGTATGGACCAAAAAGTTTAGACCTAAAAGGTACGTCTAACAGCTCCACGAAGCTCCTTGGAACAGATACAGAGCTAGTTCTGACTGACCACGCTCTAGCACTGGAAACAGAATGGCTGTGTTAGCATGGTGTTCTAGTCAGGCAAATTAGTCATATCAAGTTTCATGCTGGAGTACTGAGCTGATGCAACTCCAATTCCTGTAACCTAAGTTAGTATCTGCATTGCTTTCCACTGTGCCATGTAAACAGACCGGCTTATTCATAGCTGGCAGTATGTGTGTGCAGCGCTATATTGGGCCATGTAGATCCACCCAAACGGTGTCATGTCGATACACCTAAAGAATGCAATTAAGTCATCTGGAAAGGATATATACATTTTTTAAACCTCAAGGCAATGTGTTTTTGGGAAGGATTTGAAAGAGGAGAAAGAATGCTACTATAACAAGTAAATTGAGGCTAAGCAAGTATTAAAGGATGCACACACAAGCCATGTCCCCACAGCCAGAAGTATGTGGTTGCTGTGGGGGAAAAAAGCAGTGGTACAAATTTGTGCCACTGCTTTTTGCCTTGGTGCATGCCCCTGCATGTACAGTTAGCGTGGGGAAAAATGCTCCAGGTGGGGTAAGGGAGGCTGAGGCCAGCACCTGGGGTCCTCAGGGCCTCTTGGGGCTCCAGCAGCAGCAATCTGGGTGCATGGAGCCTGGCTGGCAGCTGGAGCATGGCTCTGGCTGGCCAGGCTCTGGTTTCAGGTGGCACACGCTGCTGCCATGTACACCACCCCACCTTCTTTTGGTGTGGGTTTTTTTGACACCAGGCTCTCCCAGTGTAAAAAACAACCTACCATGCTGCTAATTAGCAGCGCAGCAAACATGTGCGTGCACGGTGTGGATGGGTCTGTGGCACCGCAGACCTCACATGTACACTCGTCTGGATGTGCCCACAGAGTCTGTGGAAGAACCTAAAATAAACAAGATCCCTTGACTCCCCATCACCACACTCCCGATTAATAACTCTCTGCATATCTCAATTACAGTAATATTTATCTAGCACTCTCATGACTGAGAACTCTCTGAACTGCAGTCTCAGGGGCTTGTTTTACTCAGCAAAGTTAAGAACTAAAGATGTGAGACAGAGAGAGAGAAGTAGCTAACTGTGTTAGTCCGAAGTAAGGAAGGCCTTCTGCCTAAAATGTAAGGTTAACACACGTAATTTAAAGTGTGTTAAACCAAAGAGAATGTTCTCATTCAGAAGTTAAGTTGCCTTTGCTCACTAACTCACTTACTCCTCCTCAAACATATGTGCATCACTTTCATACCATTATTAATACTTTTCTAAGTGTCCCGGTATAGAAAAAAGCCCTTGGAAGAACCCAAACCCCTGAGACACTTTGTTTTTTGGTGTCACAACCTGTTAGGAATATGTTTTTCCTCTGTTCTTAAGGGACTTATGGGAAGACTGAATCAAAAGCTGGAAGCCAGCCAGCCAGACTCAGCTGCCAGTAGTCTGACTCCACCAGCCTACATCAGAGGGCAGATACCACTGGCAGGCTAAAATGTACATAGAGCAGTATTAGCATACAGGACTAAGTCCTGATTCATAACTTTTATGACTCAGATGGAACACGTGACCACAGTGAGTACAGCAAGCCTTTGCACACGGTTTCACCCCAGAGTCTAAAGCTATCCAGACAGTGGCTTCAACGTGGAATTTCATGCCATTGCCCATAAAACACAGGGATAGCAGCAGCAGTATGAGGTTTGCTGGCATTGTAACTAAGGGAAACATGAGAGGCGGGGGTTGGCTTATACTCTTGGTAGAGCATCAGTTCCAGCATTGATTCCCTCACTCCCAGGAGATATTTATAACCCTCATGAGGTTGATAAGGCAGAAATTAATATTGGTGGCATCTGCGACACACTTAATCTGATTTCACTCCTTGAGCATCAGCATAGGACACTATGATAAACTTGCTCTGCAGTGGAAAGGGAAAGATTTAATCAGTTTGTGATGCAAAAGCAAAAGTCTGGATGAAGATTTTATCAATTATGTGGGGAAATGAGTGCTAATGCAGGATGTTGTGCTAGCTGTGCTGAAGACTACATGCCTTAACATGCAGATAGGATCCCAGAGGAATTTTCACCAATACCTATAGGATTTAGACACTAACTCTTTTAGATGCTTTTGAAAAACACACCAGTGCCTACCTGTACCCTTAGCCACTTCCATATCTTTGGAAGTCTAGCTGAGAGCTCCATGGTAGAAATGGTGCCAGTTTCCCCATGCTGCTGCACCAATTTCCATTTCTATTGCCTCGAGCAGCAGTCTCAACTGGGGATCTGAGGCCTGCTGGGGGGCCAAGCACATGTTTCAGGGGGTCTGCCCGGCCCAGCACAGCATATGGAGGAGCCACCTTGGCCCCCCCAGGGCCAAAATGAGACCTTAGGAAGGGGTACAGGTGAGCTCGCCCCACTGCCTCCATCTTGTGGGTGGCACTGCAGGTGGGCAAGCAAGACTCTGTGCTGCTGCTGCTCAGGCGAGTGGGGCCCCGGGGCTCCCCACTGCCAAACTCCTCGCTGCACCAGGGCTGTGTGGGCAGGGCTGGGGAGCTGAGCAATTGTTGTTGCACCGGTGGGCCACTGAGTTTTTATAGCATGCTGCAGGGGTGGGGAAGGGGAACAGAGGCTCAGGAAGAAAAAGCTCTAGGGACAGCAGAGCAGAGGAAGGAGCTCACATAACTTTCTGTGCATGTAAACTGCTAGCACCTATACTGTAATTGCCAACCACAGTGCCCAAGTCCCAGGAACAATGGTGACTTAGAGGTGTAGGCACTGTTTCCTTTGAAATGCTGAGACAGCCAAGTCCTTCCACATACTTCTGTGAAGGGCCGGCAGATGAGACAGCGACCTGGAGCATTCCCAACTGGAGCACCGGTGTTAGTTTTGTAGAGATGAAAATCAACTTACTACTTACCAGGCCATCTAGTCCTCATGTAACTTGAGGGTCTACCTGGGTATGTCTACACCAGGGTGGACAAAATGGTGGATCCAGCTGATGGCCGTACTTCATTTCCCAGCAGCCCCTGCTCACATCGCTGCAGCCAGTTTCCATGGAGATCCCAGCAGTGGCAGGGCCATGATGACAACATGGTGTCAGGATTTTCATGGAGACCAGCCCCAGCAGTGCTGGCAGGGTGCGGGGAGTTGCTGTGGGACTGGGGCTGGGATCTTGCAGCGGTGACAGTGTGGTCCAGAGCTGGGGCAGAGCTGCGATTTGTTGCCTGCATGTCCCTGCCTGGGGTGTATGGGCAGTCTGCCTTAGCACTAGGCCATGCTGTCACCACCGCAAAATCCCCACCCCAGAGCAGCCTGCCCAGCCACATGTCCTGCCAGTGCTGCTGCAGCTGATCTCCACGGAAACCCTGGACTCATGCTGTCATGGCCCTGCCACTTCTAGGGTATCCATGGAAACCAGTGACACGGGCAGGGGCTACTTGGAAATGGAGTCAGCCACGGACCCAGTCTGGCTCATGGGCTAGACTTTTCCCAGCCCGGTCTACACCATGGCAGCAGAGTGCTTAGTCATGCTACTGAAGAAGTCTTTGTGACTAGGTTTGCGGGTGAAGAAGGGAAGAAGCCAGTGAGATTGCCCAGAGGTATAAGGGTCAACGCTAGGGGATACCGTTGGTGGGTCAGGCCTCTAGTGACCACTCCAAACACTCTCTGGAGGCAATAGAAATAACCCAGTCAACTTCAGTGGGCATTAATGCAGCATTTTTGTTTGTAAGCTATTTAGGGTATAGAAAAATGTTGCAATTGGCCTATATAGTATTGCATGCTTTTCTAATGGTGAGGAAATAATAAACTGTCCCATCTTAATAATGTATGATACTAAAATACCCAATACCTCCAGCTCCACTCCAACTCCCACCAAAGTTGCTTTCCATCAACTTCCACAGGACTTGGATTGCACCTACCAGGCAAAAGTTATACTTCTTTAACTACACTGGTATAGTTAAAGTGACATGTTCCCGCTTACATGAATGACACTGCACTAGTACCAAGCTTCTTACACCCCTAGGCTATGGATAGACATTCCACATAAACCAGTTTAAGTGATCAGAAACTGGTTTAAACCTGCAACA